TTTTTTTTGTAAGTACGGTCAGTTTACAATTGAAAAAGAAACGAAAAATTATGCTAATTTTAATGTTGAGGCATAAAATGTGTCGGTAAAAAAAATATGCATGAAAAACTTTTTTGCTTGAATAAATTTCTAAAAATGAAATCTTGAAAAAAAAACATGCGGAAAAAAACAGATAGCAGATTTTGAAAATGTATTCAAAATTCCGAATCGCATACGAATATTCCAAACGAAAAAGAATGCTTTTATAATGTATTCTTTTCCTTTCAGTACGCCATTCACCTCTGATGCCAGTCCCCTCAGTTAAGCTTCAGGCCAAAAAATATCCTTTCCAGACTTCCTAATCGTTTCAGACTTATTAAGTAGTTTGAATTGCTGATTTGATTTCAAACAGGTCTAGTCTGTGCAAACAGAATTTGCATTGTTTCTTTTCTTTTTTTTTTTCGACAAACAAAAGTAAGGAAAAAGAGGATAAAGACGACTACTAATTTCACTTATTCATTCAACCAAATCTTCAGTTTCCTCTGTACTGGTTGTTACGTCGAGTTTAATAAATCAAATATACCTATATATTGGCAAAATTCAAAAAAAGCAGTTTTATTTATTTATTCATTTATTCACTTGTTTTTTTTTTTCTTTTGAAAATTTCATACCAAGTGCATTACGAAGCGTTGTCTGAGCAAGAAGTTTTGTAGAGTATATTGCATCATCAACATTATTAACTGAAGCTATCGGATCTGACGTTCGGAAGTAAACTACTGCATCGACTGACACAGTTACAGAATCCTTCGAAAGAATCTCCTGAGGTGGTACTGCATAAGAAACTACCCTGTAAAAAACAGCAAAAAAATTTTATGCTAGTCAAATGCTAGAAACGTTTGTAATTGCTGACATCCTGTCCAAATATTGACAAATCTAATTGCTAATTTTTTTATTAAGTACATATGTACATATATATTTGTGTGTATACTTATATTTAAATATATATTTACGTTTAAAAATCAGGCTTCTTCTCTTTTTCTTGTTACTTTCTTAAAAATGGAACATGGCGTTCTCGAGTTACGCTGAAGCAACTAACCTTCTGTTAGGTCAATGACATTTATGCAACGTGATGGCCTCTAAGGCAAAAAAGTACACATTTTCTTGATAACTTGGCATTACTTTCACACTTAATTATTACTAATAAGTTTGCCTTCTTTAAATATTTTATGCGTTCTTAACATTTTTAGGTAAAAGATAAAATCAAAAAACAGTTGGAAACAATTTGTGGAAGAAAAAAAGTAATAGTTGAAAACGATGGTATGCGTAACCAAATACCTTAAATCAATCTTCCTGTACGTATCGATGCAAGGAATAACAAAAATCATGCCAGGACCTCTGGCACCTCCAAAAACAAGCCTTCCAATTCGGAATATCACAACCCTCTCGTACTCTTTTATTACCTGTAATTGTTGTTGGCCATTAACATCCATCAAAGATTAGTAAAAAAGTAGGCTTATCTAAGAAGAAATCGATCTAGGCAAGCAAGATTTGATCATCAGTGAAAAAAAATTTTTTTAATTCAACGCCTAAAATTAATGACAAAAAAAAGTTTTTTCTTTTGTGTTCTTACCTTCAGACATACACACATTGAGAAAGGGAAAGTTATTATAATCAGAATCCATGATAATACTACAAGTGCATAACCAAATATTGTACCAATTGTTTCATAATCTGGAGGAACATCCTGTAAAAAAAAAAACATTCTGTGTTTATCGGTTGGCATTCACTTAATTGCCGTATTCAACATTCACAAATAATTTTTCTTGTCTCAAATTTCATTTTTTATCTGCATTCAATCCAAACAAAAATACCAAAAGTTGGAAATCATAAATCATTGGCAAAAGAACTGAAGAGACATATATAGCAAAATTATTCGGCTAAAAGAATTTT